ACATAGTACTTAAACAGTAAAAAAAACAAATCAAACGTGTTATTATAAGGCAGATAATCCTTGTCAACTACTTACCAAGACGTGCAACTATTTCGCATGCTAGGTGTGCAACTTTTTGGAGCGCAAGGTCGCACCATCTACACTTCTCATCTATTATTGTCCATCTTATTTCTCTCATTTTTTTTGAAGCTACTTAGTAGCTCAATGGGATCCGCTTTATATCTACCATGAAAAAACTATTTTCAATTATGAAATTTATCATACATAAGACGTCGGCATTTTCAAAGTCAGGATATTGCTTGGCTACGAAAGGACTGCAGTCTTGGAAGGGATTATGTGCTCGTTGTCTATGAGAAATTTATAGAGTGCCTTTTCAACGAAATTTATGAAAGGTCGACAATATCCCCTTGTTCGTCATTGGCGAAGGAAAAGGTTTGTTTCACTGGTGGGGTGAAGAATCACGAGTTTTCACGTTATTATTATTATTTGTTGGCAGTCTCTTGTTGCTCAATTACGTTACTATTATCTCCGTTGGCGTTCTCTCGTGCCTCAACTACGTTATCATTGTAACTGTTGGCAGTCCAACAACAATGGTAGATGCGTAAAATCGAGTTTTTTTTCTTAAATACCGTTCTTCTTTGCGAGAAGACGAACTCTTTTTACTTAGCAGTTAAATACTGTGGACTTTTCACGGAAGGATTTATCGTTGGATCAAATGTCATAAAGTGAGTTACATGTAGAATTATTTGAAAGTTTTTCCAAGGGCAAGCATTATTTAATGCGCCTAGCGTAGCTTCCGTTTCCTAGCACAAAAACTTCAGATAAAAGATATCAGTTATTAAAAATTCTGAGAAGAGTAAAAGTATGAACTATAAAAATGATTTTTTTTCTTTAAATCAGAGCGACGCGACTGACGCGTGTAAATATGTACTACAGTCTGCAATATCACGTTTTAAAATATGCAAAAAGTACTTTTGAATCATATCACGGGGGATAGCTAGTACTTTTCTTTTTCTTTGTATTTAGTTTTACTTTTTGTATTTCTTTTATAAAATAATAAAGTTACTGGCAGTGTCACATCGAAAAAAAAAAAAAAAAAAAAAAAATAGTTTATTACAATGAATATTACTTCTATTGTCTCCTCGTTAATATTTTGCTTTCGTCACCTTTTTTACAGAAATTACATATCTTAGATGCAAATTATGTTTAACAATGGCAACATAAAAAAAGGATTATCCATTTAAATTACAGATTCATAATTAATTTTTATAGTCGAGTTAGTGAAAGTTGAGCTGTCACGTGAATTTTCCAGAAGTTAATTACGTCTTTTAATTTAATATATATTCAAATAGCCGCCAGGGTTGGGAAAGTACAGTGTACGAATATAATATTCGTACAAGTATAGTACTAGTACATTGTACTACTGTACTTAGTACAGTAGTACAATTATATATTTAATGAGAAGTACATTGTA